ACACATCAGTCAAAACCGTTGTTTGTGGTATCCGTCTCGTTTTAAAAATGTAATAATTCTCCTTTTACTTGTTTAAGCGGCTAATAAACTTCAGAAGCAGTAGCTCAGGTGACTATGCACAAATGCGAAACATATAGGATACACAGCACCCCTGAGTGAAAACGTAGCCAGGAGGTAGCACACCAGGCACGTGCCCCCCCCCCCGCCCGCCAGCCCCCCGAAATTTCGTTTTGCCATGGCATAGAGAGTAAAAAATGACCATTTTAAAAGGGTGCCCCTCCCAAAATTAGGGTGGTGCCCCCCCCCCCCCCCTCCCCCGAAAAAAAATTTCTGGCTGCGCACCTCTTACTGGGCCTTTAGTAATGCGTGAAAACCATACATTAGCTTTCTCTGAATCAAATATGACCCCGAAATACTTAAACAAGGCTCACAAAATTCAACAGCAGAGACATTAAAACTAAATCTACTAAAATTGACTTGTTTCTTCATGGCATGAAAAACCATGTATTATTTGTGTAATGACAGCCTATTATACCTTCAGTTCATAAACGAAATGTACAATAGGGCCTGATGAGGGATTTCTTGATGACTGGTCAAGACACATTTTCTGTAAAAAAATCAATACGAAAAAGTAACACATCTTTGATGCTTTTGCTTGTTTCAGATAGGGATGGGCGCACAAAGGACGCTTTCACAGATTGAACAACTTCATGCTGGCAATTATTCAATGTTGAACATTAAAGGAACTTCATCGTGGTGATTTCAAGCAGAAAGAAGAAGAAGATAAAGCTCAAGTATTAGTCGCAGAAAATGAAGATAAAGCAGCAGCATGGGACGCAGAAGAAGAAGATAAAGCAGCAGTGTGGGACGCAGAAGAAGTAAGATATAGAGAAGGAGCATGTCGAGGAGGCAGAACATGATAGGGAAGAAGTGGAAGCAGGGGATGAAAAAAAAACAGATGAGGAAAACGAAGAGGTTGTTGAAGATGCAGGTACGTAAAAGAAATCCGATGGCAAGTAAATGACCTTGAGATAAGTGAAATAACTTATGACACACAATCTGTGAAAACAATTCTTAGATTTGCCTTTTCACACATTAACCAGGCTAATTCTCACAGATCCCAAATTTTCGTTCACAAATACACGCAGTAGAGACAAGTCCATAGAAGCATTAAAAAATGTTACCCTTAGGACAAGGAAGTGAAAAAAGTGCACATTTTATTCTTTAATGGACAAAGTTGCAAGACAGACTAAAGGTGTATTTTCATGCTGTCGAACTGAGGTTGCTTGCTATGAGAACTTTTTGCGCATTAGCAATAGAAGGACAAAAAATGAAGAGCACAACACGCGCATGCCCCTCTTTTTTCATCCTTGTCACTTATAGGCTAAAAATTGTTACCATGTGTTAACAACATAGCTGAATTCCAACTCTTGCGCTTGGTGTAGCCTATTTGTTTATGCTAGGAGTGTGCAAAGTTGAATTCTTTAATTTCGATGCTAATTCAAATAGTGAAAACCAAGTGTAAATTGAATAGAATATTTTGCAAATATGAATAGTGCAACTACTGAGTTTTGAAAAAAAAAATTTTCATCCAACCAGGCATGAAAAACTAAGTCTGTTGTACAGAAAGCAATAAAAGGGATATTGATGCATTGTACAACACTACTCCTTGACATTACAATTATGCACTTATTTAATGTAATCATGAAGCATGGACAGCTGCTTGGTATGTTCGAGAAGCAGTGCTGCCGTTCTACATGTCCCCATTTCTCCGGGGAATGAAACAGCCACTGGGTACCCACACTAGTGCTTGTCTAAACATTCCCTTTTTAGCCACATATTCAGCCATAGTTGAATGTTCTGTGAAGTTTGAATATGCGCTTTTTGAATTGGATATGCTTTGAATAATGAACACATTATACCTAATAATATTTGAAATTTTGAATATTGATTTGATTGATTTGTGGGGTTGCACATCTCAAAACTATCATATGATTATGAGAGACGCTGCAGTGGAGGGCTCCGGAAATTTCTATCACCTGGGATTCCTTAATGTGCACCCAAATCTGAGCACACGGGCCTACAATATTTTCGCCTCCATTGAAAATGCAGCCTCTGCAGCCGGGATTAGATCCCGCGACCTGCGGTTCAGCAGCTAAGTATTTTAGCCACTAAATCACCGCGGCGGGGTGACATTTTCAAACCCTTACTTAATAGACTGAAAGTTATTTGATATTTTTACTAATTTGGAACAAATTATTAATAACATATCACCCTGACAGCAATTTTTTAATGAAACCAGCCTTACTACACTCAAACCTTGATATAACAAATGCAAATATAACAAAATATTGATTATAACGAAGTAAATAAGAAATAGTCTTGGAATAAATATAGTGCTAGGAATATGCCATTATAACAAATTTTAGATATAACCAACTTAATTTGGTGTAACAAGCAACTTTGTAATAATGAGGTTTGAGTGTATACATGGCTACCCTGTCAAACTGTCTTGAGGTTCAAAGCCCTTATAAACTTCCAACGTTCATTTAAACAGCTGTTCAATACTCAGACTGCATGTAATTCAAAGTGCCGATTTTGTAAGGGTACGTTCACCTCTAAATGGCCCTCTGGCAGTTCTTTATTAAAAAGCTTTTCACATATTCTCAAACAACCATGAAAACAATGAGGTATACCAAGAGGGCTTAAAATGTTACTGCTGACTCAATTATTTCAACCCTGAAGAGACCAACAGCCTCATAATCTGACGAGCAGAATTAAGCAAGCGGGAGAAGAAAACCAAATATGCCACTCACTTTTTTCACCGTACACATGACTTCAGCCACAGAATTGAACATGCACCCAAATTTAATGGGCAACAAGTAGAATATGAATGGATGTCAGAATGGAATCTTAGCACTAAACTACCAGCAGTTTGAATACGCTCGCCAGTTTTAGGAAAAGAAAAAAGCGTAGGGGAGAGCCTGGAGCCAAGGGGAGAGCTTGGAGGTTTGGAATAGTTGGAGGAATGCGATAGCACATACATCTCCCAAGTAATTTATTTCAAGACATTAGCCAACGACTCATGAAATGGCACAGACAGACTGTTTACAATGATGTATTGATACGCGTCTTCAACGAATGGAGCTTTGTGTAACAAAAGTCGCCCTTTCCATGCGTCAAAAGTAAGTTTCTGCTATCAGAATGGTAATGCTTTCAAATTTTAATCACTTTGTGAATGCTAATATCAATATTACTGCGAGGACATTCATCAATGCTGCAGCTTTACAAAGTCAAAGCATTAAGACTCAACTTTTGTTGCTGAATGTCGTTGGCTTTGGTCAAGGTAGCTTGAAAAATATCGGACAGTTGATCTGAGGGAAGAATGAAACACTCCCACATCTCCCTATCCTACTGCCCCACCGCGTTACACAGCACAAAAAGTAAATGCAAGCCAAAAGTCAGTGCATGTTTATTGGGGGAGCATACTATTGAAGAATAATCCACAGGCGTTAGCACAACAGTCTTGAAAAAGGAGTGCAGCGCAGTAAAGACTGCTGCCACTTCCCACCCAAAAAAGAAATAGTTTTTGCTGAAGGATTGCTGTTGTTCAAGTGAAGACACACTTGCCATAGCCTTTGACGAGTTCAACGACATGTCAGGTTTTGATAATGATCAGCATGGCATTTGTAAAATCAATTGGCCTAATGAATACACTGAAGTGACAAAAGGTGAAGTTGTTGTAGTCAGTTTTAGTAAAAAAAAAATTGGCTTCTCTTACAGTTGAGCCCCTTTATAAGAGGCATATGCTCCGGGCAGCAATTCTTATCTTTTATGCGAGATGTTTCTTATAAGCAGGGTATGTCGTATGCATTTCCTAATCCACTCGTATTTTACTGCGGACATGCTGGTGTCTCTAAAACCTATTTGTCTCTTATATCAGTGCCTCTTGTAAAGGAGTTTGATGATACATTGCTTGAGTTAAGAGTTTTAATAACAAGCAAACGTTAGTGTGCAGTTCCTGCAGAACGTAGAAAAGAGCTCTAAGCTCTATTTTCATCCTAAAAAAATATGAATACTTTAACAATTGCGAAAATTGTGATAAAACTGCCAGTGTCAAGAACTGTACAACAAAGTGTGCAACCCCATTTGATGTTGAACTATCTGCTTGTAGTGGTAGATGAAGACACTTGAACCGTTGTGTTAGATATGTGCATCTCCGAAGTTTTACAACCTGTTTAGACCTGTATTTCAATGAACCGAACATTGTTTTCTGTTCATGTTCGACAAAACTAAAAACATAATTGTGCAAAGTGTCCCAATCCTCCCAACTGTCCCCTATGTTTATTATGACACTAAGAAATGCATAACCACTGGTTATACCTTCTAAATTGTACTATCAAAGCAGCCTCTTCATGTGTTTTAGGAACGGCTTGGAATGGTGAAATCCAATATAAAATTACGGTCTACCTGACTGTTACAATGAAACAAAACCATTACGATTTCCAAAGAAAACAAAGTTTATAGAGAATGTCATTCTCGTACAGAAGTTACAATTTAGAATCACCATTATAGTGAGGATCATGGTAGTCTTTCCCTTCAGGAAATCTGTTCTATAGGACATATTTATGCAACACTGATTTCGAGCAACTAATTTTCATTTTGTAAATATATGTGGAGGTGAATCATTGAATAGCGTTTTCAATGCCTGATTTTGCATAACATGATAATGTCAATGGATGACATACTTGTAATCTCTCATGCATAGAGACAGATGTAAAAGTTGCATTTTCGTGCAACAAAGAATAAAATCTTTACAAACTTTATTCTGAACAATAATTTTTGTTTGATAGACAGCATTCATTGATCTTACTTTGCATAGCTTCACGGCAAGAAAAAAAAAAGAGAGTACGCAACATGCCTTTCATCTGTGATAATATAGCAAAAACATGGAAGTTGCATTCTTGCATAAAAAATGATGCAGTCATCACGAAATTCAATTTTGAGTGACTACTCTTTTTTTATTTTTTTTGATGAAAATATGAACAGGGGCAGGACGAGTGGAGGTGTGCTAACCCAGAAGTGATGAAGCAAAAGGTGAGTAAATAACAAACCTTTGATCCTTGGTGTTTTGATTAAAATCTGAAAGTTGCATTCTCGTGTGCAACAAACACAGTGCTTGCAGACATTGATTATTTGATGAGGCACCTACGTGCAGGAGACCAAGCCTACGTACTACTGGTCTAGTGCAGTCCTACGGAATGACAAAGGGGCTTGCGTAAGTTAAATACCATCTTTTCATCCCTGATGCCTTCATATTTATCCAAGTTCTCATGCATTAAATGGATTCTAAAAAGAAAGAGCAGATCAGCTTAGTCACGTCATGCTAGATTACACATGAAACCTCTCCTAGTGTTAGAGAAAGCTTGAAAAGCCAGAAGACGCACAAGAGCCAAAAACGAGTGCATTACTTTTGAGCTCCTGTGCCAACCAGTGCAAATGCCAGTTTTCTACAGTGTATGTCCGGGACCAGTCAGCAATTTCTTTTACTGCAAAAGATTTCATATATTGTATTCAAAGAGAGCCATAGACTTGACTTGCCAACTTTCAAGAATGTTTACTGCACCATAAGGATCTAAATATGATACTACATAGAATCCAAAACATCGAACTGTTTGCTACTGCTGTGATTTTCACCCAAAATTTATTTTTTTATTACTTCTTGTATTGTAAACACAATCTTGCTACAAAATTCATCAAGTGCTTGATCAATGCTCAGTGTTTCTTTTTGGTACCTTATTAACAAGTTCATAATAGCATTTTTCAAATTTCTCCATGCAGGAACCAGAATCGACAGAAGACTACCGTAAGATATTACTTCCCTTTTTATGACAAAAAAAAAGAAAAAAAAAGTGAGAGGTAAATAAAAGTTTTATCAAAAACAGATTCACAACAGTTTCTTATTTTTCCTCCTTCGTATATCCCTATTGTATTAGCAGACACTCAGTTTATTGCACTCAAGCGTGCATGTAGGAGAAGGCACCACAGCATGCGGAATTGTCAGATTCAGTTTTCATGCATGGAATTCAGTTCACAGTGCAGGCGAAATTTCACATCCAAACATCTTGATATTTGTTTTTCAAATAAGTGCTCAAATTTTATGCACCGAAACTATGATTATGAGGCGCCCCTGAGATCGAGACTCTGAATTAAGTTTAACTACCTGGGGTTTTTCAATGTGCAACTAAGTCTAAGCACAGAGATGTTCTTTGCATTTCACCTCCGGTGAAATGCAGTGCTGTGGCTGGGAGATGAACATGCACTCTCGAGCAGTATTTTTATGTATAGATGATAACAAGTGCACAAGTTTCCTTTTATAAACTGAATACTGCATCGACAAGAACATGTGACCAAATAAAAAAAGCAACACAAAAGCAAGATCCAGTAATTGAAGTAAAGTGCAAATTTAACAGCTCGTTTTCTCGTTAGATCAATTATTAACAAGAAAAAACAGAAATTAGTCTGTTAGTTTCCATTAAAATCTGGTAATGCGCGACTGCTGACAATTTATGTGCATGTGGCAACACAACTGACCAAGTTCGACCTTCATTCAATGTTTCTTATTTAGGACTGGAAGGCAATGGTAGTGAAAGTGGCTACTTGACCATTGACAACTCATCTACTGAGAACATGTATTCCTGCTGTGCTTTTCTGCAGCAAGTCACTGAACAAAATGAAGGTGTCAAATTTTACAAGTTATTTATAAATTAGGCAAGTTCTTGATGCCAATTTAACTAAATTTAACGTCAGGATAACAGTCGGGATATCTATTATGACAAATTCAAGTTACCTTGCCTTAGATGAATCCAACACAAAGGATCTCAGCCATTTGCTTTTATTTATTCTCTTGAACTGAAGTTCACCAGCCATTTTTACCAAATTTTGTAGGAATAACCCACGAAATTAAATAAACAAAGCACATGACCAATTTTGCACGTCACAGTCCACACAACATATTAGCATACGTAATATTCATTGGTCGTTGATTTTTACAAACTGATCAAATTGACAGCATCACTCAAATATTCTACACACTGCTAAGGACAAGGCCACCGACACTGTACAACCCCTCCCTAGAACTCCCCACCGTGACACCAGTGGGTGTATAAGAGAAGCCTTAAATTGCAGCCAATATTTTAATAAAGTTATTATACCTCCTCTACATTCATTGACAGTTTTTCAATTGAGACATTGATCCAAGGTAAAATTTACGGAAGGTGATGCCCATGTGCACACAAGCAGTGCTGGTACATGTGAAACAAAACAATCTTGGCAATGATTTCAAGGTTTGGCAAGCAGGAGGAGATAAATTTCGAGCAATGCCTGAAAAGCCTTTGGCGCTGTGGTTTGCAGCTCACACATGCTATTGTGGCAAATAAGTCCCATGAAATCCTGCAAGATGGAGGAAAGCATAGGAAAGAGTAAATTACCATTCACTTGTCTGACTCGGCAAGGCTACGAAAAAAATCTATATGGATTCCTCAGAAAGCATAGCTCCTGGGTTCATTCAGGTCCAGGGTCCAAACCAAAAACAAGTGCCCTTTTCAGAGGCACTCAGTTTACCAACTAAATAGATGGAAGGCAATTTTTCCTTTCCTAGCCTGACAAGACACAACAATCATATAATAAGCTACAAATTACTGTCACAACACCACACCAGTAAAACGTGAAGTTGGAGCTACTTGCTCTACTAAATCTGCCTTTGAAAGGGTCCTGTTGGAGGAAATGCCCTAAAAAGAATTCCGCTGTAAGTTCCCTTCTCATTGTGTTGCATAAAAACAGCAAGTTCTCATGCTTCAGCTCCATGTCAACCTAAAATTACTGGTTGGCCAGAATATATCTGCAGGCCTTAGCATGACTTACAAAAAAATTTGGCCCTCCTGCACCTGAGGGCCAAGAATACCACACCTTGTTTTGTGAAACCAGGTGGACCTCTAGATCTAAGAGCATTCGTCTCTTTTGCCAACACTTCGTTGATGTTATGGAGGCCTTGACAACACTGTCATCGTCTACGAACAGGCCAAGGCGGGAAAATGCACACCAATTATAGTGCAGTCTATACGCCCCTTCACTTTTAGTGTGCTTCACCATTATTGCCAGATATTCTGCTCTGCTTGAACCGGTGACAAATATGTTACAAAGCCCTCAGATGTACATTTTAAAGGTGCAGCATATGCGACTCCTTACTAAAACAAGTGGCGAGCACAGGGCAAAAGCAGAATAAATATTTAAGGAGTTTTATTCTGTGACCGAGGAGACCGCAGGACAGCTTGGGGCAGATATCAGTATACCGCAAATGGTTGCACGCCAAATGCACAGGCCAAATGCTCTGGGAACTCCGGAAGAATATTACCACCGTAATGTTTTCATTCCTTACTTGGACTTTCTACGCTGGAAGAAAAATTTCGAGAGCGCAATACTCCCGCATTTGCACTTCTCTTATTAGACCCAAATGCGTTGAGGAATCTTTCGAATGAAGACTTCAAGGAGCAGCTCTGCGAGCCTGTTAATAAATACTTCGACTGCAAAGTGGAACTTTGGCATCAGTCATAGATGAAAGCAGTTTTCGATGGAGACCTGATCAATCTTCTTGCATTTGCTGAGGGGATCTATCAAGCCAGTAATTCTCAAATGGGGGTCCGTGAAGCCATTTTGAATGGGGGTCCTTTAGGGGGTCCGCGAAGCCATTTCAATGATCCGCGAAATCCTTGCCAGCATTTTTTTGTAAGCGTGACTGTGCCATGCAGTGATGAATTGGCCAAAATGAAGTGATTGTTTGATGTTTGATATTTGTTTGATGTTTTTGGTAGCAATAAAAGGCACCTGTTTCACGCTTCAATTGTGTTCTTTTACCTACGTACCCCTCCCCTCCGCTGCAAGGGGCCCCCCCGTCACTTCCACCAGTCCACAAGGGGTCCCCTACACATCCATGGCTAAGAACCACTGTATCAAGCTATCAGCCATGCTCTTTGAACAGCCATAACTTTTCCCTCGACAACGTGTAGTCCTGAACATTCTTTCAGCATGATGCTGCTTGTGAAGACGTGGCTTCATTCGATGATGTCAGACGACCGCCAGTCTGGTCTGTGCATGCTCTCGCTGCATCGTGAAAAAATTGAATAGGAGGGATAAAGAGCTTTTGCTGGAAAAGTTGTACAGCACTTTGCTATGCGCACACCAAGATACATGCCACTTGAATTTAAACACACTGAGTGACTGTAAGGATAAGTTTCTAGCATGTACGAAATTGCGGTAATTCTGCCTGGCAGATGTCATTAAAATTCATAACTGCATGTAATTTAACGAGAAAAGTTTATAGACGTGGAAACTTTGAGTTTCCAAACAATTTCTGACAGCAAACTATCGAACTGCACTGTTAGCCAGAATATCTAAATTCAAGGCTACCTGCCTCAGCAGTGGTGATATTCAGCTTTGTGCCTTGTGGTCTTATAACTTCTGCAAATTATTCTATCTTGATATTAAAATGTTCCTTTATTTTTTTGTGTGTATGATGGAGGAATCAATTAATAATCTAACCTAAAACATTTGTAACCCTTAAGATCAGAACGATATCTCCATATACACGATTGTTATGAGCCCCCCCCCCCCCCCCCCCCCCCCGGGCAATCTAACAGGTTTGCGTCCCCCAAAGCAGAATTTTGCCGACACCCATGTGTAGGCTTATTTATTAAAAATGTAAAGCAGAATAGAACACACAGAAAAAATGGGGATTGTATTAACTAGCTAAATGGTGATTTGAGTTAGTCATTTCAGTATTAAGCAGTAGCGACTGGATCTATGCAAATTTATTTGACATGATGGGAGGAGGGAGGCAGTGATAGGCAAAGCCTACACTTATTCTTATATTGTAGCAGACAATAGAAATAGATGGTTTCAATCAAACTGTAGCAGAATCAGAAAAAAGAAGTGGGATAATCAACTGCATCAAGTAGCTAAATGGTCATTTCAGATTGTCATTCAAGTCATAGGCACTGATGTCAGGATATATGATGAAATTTGATGGGACACTCAAGTTTTGTCCTAGGAACCGGTCTATAATCTACATCTTAAAAATAGACTCGGACATTTACAACACTTACGTTGGCTACATTTATGAGTATATAGTAGACATTTTAAATCAAACTGCGGAGCAAGATGGGACACAAAAAGAGTGCGACTGCATTATATAGGTGAATGGACTGCTAGTCATTCAAGAAATATCTAATGATGATAGAATATCTCACGAAGTTAGTCAGGACACTATGGTTTTCTATCTGAAACCCACAATTGCCTACGTGGCAAAATCTGACTATCCTGTACACGCTAACAACCTAAATACAAAAAAATGAGCTAGTGCAATCGGATGGCGCATCTGTGTGAACCTGCAAACCTGCTTTCTTGCATGGGAGGACGATTCAAATATAGGAGTAAGTGTGTAGCCAGACAGAACTCAAATAAAGAAGTGAAAGTATATTAATTAGATGTATTAGGTTGTATTGCTGTATTAACTAGCTAAATGGGGCTTCAAGTAGGTAAGTAATGCTTTCACATAATCAACTTTGATGGGCCAACTGTGTTCTTCTTCGCAGGCATTCTTTGTGAAAACCCGCTCAAACTAAAGAAAATTCAGTGAGCCAGTTTATGAAAAGGACTTGAAAAGTTTCACTGCAAAGACCACACACAGCCACCATGCATTAGATTTTATGAAGATATGAGGGTGTGAACAAGAGTTTTGTGCTTACTCTCCCTTATTTTGCACTGTATAGGAGAGTGGCCATACAGTGCTTCGTCCGACTGCTCGCAGCAAAAATACGAGGAGCGTGCCATGTTGTCCCTCATACCACGTCAAGGCAAGAAGGTTTAAAAAAAAATTCTATACTTGGTGACAACTTTTCTTGACAGCACTGTGGAAGCTACAAAACCAAAGCGCATGCCTTCTGCCGTGCCAAAAAATAGTACTTAACTGTAGTGCATGATCATCATCATTTCTCGATCACCGCGCTGCGCCTCTCGAGCAGCTAATGCTAGCTCGAGCTGCGAGAGGATGAGAACAAGCTAACGCACTTGGCGTGTTGGACGTAGACAGCCACCGCGGCTCCGCTTCAGGCGTGGAATAAAGTGGTGGGAGAACGACACGACCATGTTGGCCGCCGTCCCATCTTCCTCTCTCGCTACATAACTAATCATTTTCTGATTTTGGCTTGGTGAAATAAACACCACTTTATTTATTATAAGACTAAAATACTTGCGGGAAGTTATAGGTAAAAACTCGTTACTGTTCACTTTGCAATAAAGCGTTCCTTTACTTTGTATTTTATAGGTGGCACCATCCTTTCAGTATGCCACCTTGCCAAAGTAAACATGGCGTCCATGATTTAGTGAGCCAGTGTGTGGCCATGAACACACTGTTCATTTCTCAGAAAAAAGTTTACTTGTAATATCGTACTAAAATGTACACTGAACAATTGAATTGTTTCTCTCATTCACACATTCATGTATGTAATTTTCCTGATGCGTCACCAATGCAAGTGAACAACACAGAAATCAGCCGAAAGTTGCCGTACTGCTTGCGAAGCTACACGAATGTGTGGAAGCTCCAACTGCGTAGCCTTCACTCCGATGTCAAGATAAGTTGTCACAGAATATAGTGGGGAACTTCTTGGAACACCTTACCAACAAAACTGAAGCCAGCGTTTCCATACCCTTTATCTAAAAAAGCATGCACTTTTTGGGTCATGCATCTCCAGAGTTGAGGTCTTTTTATTTTCGTAATGTAAACACCAATTTAACTATATTATAAGATACATAGTATAGTTCACGACGAAAGTAACTTATCAAGATGAATATTGATGACTTCATCTCCAATAAAGTATGCCAAGACTTAAAGGTTGCTACAGGGAATCATTAACACAAAGGCACACGCTGAGTAGCATCTGTCCGAGAAATTTTGCCACAAAAAACTCGTAGGGCACAAGAGGAAACTCCTCCTTTTTCCTCACTGAATGCTCATGTTTCACCTTGTCCCTCCTAAGATGGCTGCCAAGGTCACCATCTTAGAGTTCGCATGACTTCACTCTTGAGGCCTTATTACCACTTCATCAATTACTTTTAAACATTCTCGGTTAAGTATGTGTCATCATAGGATTGTATGAAATACAGCAATAAGACCGAGAACTGCCTCAAACAGTATCAATAAGTACAGAGAAAAGCAAAGCACATATGAATAAATGTGTACAAGTCACGTACAAAAGTGCACAGGCTACATAATCAGATGCGCACAGCACAAGATTGTCAGTAGAATGATCACGGCCTGCAGGTTTCATGGTAAACGTCTAAGTTGCGCAAGTCCCTCCATGTTGGAGGCATGCTATGCTGTAGTCGTGTGCCACACCTGCGGCAAAACGCTGAGAACAAATGCAGGTAACTGTGGAGCCACGTCTGCTGAAACAGAAAAAAAATAATATGCTCATATCATAATAAAAAACATTTGTGAAATTGAAACAATTTTGCCCTTTGAAAAGCGTTATTGAAGTGCAAAATACAAAATACATTGCAAAGCTGGTTGGTGACACATATTTTTCTTTTTGAAAGATCCAGCGCTAAACTATGAACACACGCATACAGAAAGACAAGCCGAGATGGGCGCTGTAGTACACTGTATTGTGCCATACAGCACCTATCCCATTATGTCAATAGGTGTGAGTGTGTTTAATGTTAAGGTCTAAATATATTTTAAGAAAGAAGATACACTTCAAAATATTAAGCAAACCATTAGAAGCCTTTACAAACAGTGCAGTCCTACATAGGCAGTTTTGTACATGAAATAACCAAATTCTTTGTTAAACTTATAGCTTAGAGAATTGGAGAAAGGAGTTCCCCTTGTACAGAGCTTGCATATGTAGAAGACCACTACAGCCACTACATGTTGAACTAAACTTTAGTGATTTCCACCGACTCACCAGAAAGGATTTGACGGCCAAGTCCGGCAGTTGTGGAGAAAAGAAATGAAGCATTGCTGCATTGGCATGTTCCGTTACCTGCAAAAAAAAACAGCAACATAAGAACAACGCTGGTGATGCAAGGCACCACAGCAACCCAAGCCAGCAAAAGAAGCGTCTGTATTTCAAAGTTTGTCCAAGTGACCAGTGAAGCATGACCATGGATGTCCCAAAGACAGAAGGGTAAATTGAAGACCTCTGTAAAGTGATGAAACTCCAATAAAATAACAGTGGTCCGTATAATAATAATGAGTGGCTGGTGCGGAGCTTGACTAAAGAACAGTAACCAGATCTAGACTGCACTTCCAATTAGCCAAATGTTAAATTGAAGCACTTCTTAAATGGAACAACTGACTCCAGCCCGATTGGTTGCATACTTGGGCTCTTTACCCTTCTTCATCTCTCAATAAACGTAACACCTGTTTAACGAAACACATTTTCCTGGCCCCTTCAAGTTCGGTTTAACGAGAGTCTGATGTATTTGTGCTTTCTAAGTGAGTGATGTCTGTAAAGACATTTAGCCTACAATGAGTTAATAGAGTTGCAGCTGGCAACAACTTTCTATGGCACTGCAGCTGAGGCTACAAAGCTGAGGTGAACACTTTTTCACTATGCTGTTGTAGACTAAGTAGCTTAAAATGAATGCCTAATTTATTTTCATATTCAAAAGTTTTTGCATTGTGAGAAAGCTAACCATTATGCTAAAGCATGTTGCTGGGCTAGTTGGCTTGGACTCATAATTCATACGGCATAGATCATCACGACAGGGACAAAGCGCTCTGTGTGTGTCCTTCTTCGCTGTCACTGTCTTGATGCACTACACCATATGAATTACCCTAGTGCATTATTATTATTACTTTTCTTTTTGCTCTTCTGCTTTTCTCATTTTCTGATGTCGATCTCACATTTTCCTGCTCCTGCAAACTACGACGGCTTTGCTGGGTTGCAGCATGTCCGCATCAAAGCTTCTAAAAAAGCATCAGTGAGTGTCCATGAGCTGATCTAAATAATTCATCAAACAGGAAAAAGCCAAGAAATATTTTATTGTGTGCATACAAAAGTGAAGAAACGGGTTGTGTTGTGACCAGTGACACCACCAGGGCAAGTGGTCTGAGATAGCAATTGACGCTGGTGCTGGCAACCACAGCACCTACAGTAAAACTGCAAGTTTTAAAGAAAAATTGTGACAACAGTAAAAAAAAAAAAAAACGCCCATTTTCATAATTTTGCTCCATACATGGCAGGCATTTTCAGATGCTCACTATTACTGATACAATCACATTTAACATTGCCTTATGTAACACTACATGTATCAGCGCCTGCATGGGAAGGTGTTTTCGGTGGCTTACTACAAGAGCAATGCGAGTGCTTTATGATAACACAATTACGAGTGTAAGGATTTACCAGTGACCCCAGACACACCTAAGTCTACTATCAGGGGTGCAACAGCTTAAATAGAATTTGGAGCAATTTTTGGAGCAGCAAAATCTTATGCCAAATTCCACTGGTGGATCCAGAACAGCCGCCGCAATCCTGGAGCGAGCACTCGAATTGCGCCAAGCCAGATCTGCGAGTGGAACACGTGAATGCCCCACGTGAGGTAGCTACGGAAGTTCTTTATGTATAAGTCAGTAAACGAGTACCAGAAACAATTTCTTTTTCTGCTCTTTACGTTTCGATGGCAACTGTGTCACCACTCGCAACTGCAAAGTACGCATACAGTGGCACGCAATAAGAGCACGCCATAGAGTATCCTAAAATTAACTAGAGGGGACTCTGGCGCTGCGATCGTTCAGCGACCATGGGAATGACGGGTTGTACACGGATTTGCCTAGTCTTAGTACTTGCGGCTGGCGAATCGCACTAGTGGTTTCGTTTATTGCTGTGTTTCGGCTTTGTTTCGAAGGAAAGAACAAACCTTCTTGAACTTCGTAACCCGATTTAAAATGGCAAGCATAAAAGAACATGGTGGTGAAGCACAACCACTGAACATTTGCAGACTTTTGTTACATTAGAAAACAGCTCCAAGCCACACAAACACACATAAAGCCAGAACGAAGATTAGACAAACTCTTGTACTACTCATTATTCCCATGCTGGCTGAAGTGCTGTGCGTTGAAGCTCCCATAGACACTAGCACCAGAGTTCCCTCTGGTGTATATTTAGGAAACTATATAGACCACACAGTCACGAAAAGCAGAGGTACCGCTTTTCCATTTCAGAAATGTAAACAAATGCACGGGGTGACTAGACACCACCTCGAAAAATGCCGAAGACAACCTAGCTGCCGGACTGTACCGAAAATAACGGCAACTCGTTCTCGGAGTTCTGGCGAAATCCGTCTCCACAAGACGGAGCATACGGAACGCTGTGTCACGGAGTGGGTTTCTCAGCATCTACCAGCGGAATGCAGATTCTCGGCCGCGGAGACAGAAAACTTGCTTTCGCTCGACGAGTAAAAGTCGCCATTACTTTTTGAGTATTAAAAGGCAAAACTTTGAGCATGTTACGAGAAATAAAACTTCTACATTTTATCATAACTACATTTGAAGCAATATAAAAAACAAGGCTTACACTTAAAAAAAAGTATATGCGAATGATTCAACACAACAGGGTTGAGACGGCCAAATGTAAATTCGGAGTAGTTTAGGGAAGTCGAAAATTTAATTTTTGAGCAGAAGAACCTTCCTTCGGAGCAGTTAGCGGAACTTAATATGTCGTCCTGGGAGCTTGCAAATGAAAGTTTTAGCAACGTGTAGGCACCACTGTACATTTTAATTGCCTAAAAATAAACATAACATTGAAACAGATTATTAAAAAATTTTTGAACAGATGATCACCATGTATTTTTCTACAAAAGATTTTGTTGAAAACTAGGTTCCCCAGAAATATTTAAAAAGAAGTATGCACCACACTTAATAAGAAATTAAAAAATTGTGATCGCACAAGAATCATAGTTTCGTACAGTGGGCCTTCGCTTAAAGAAAAGCCTCTCATGATAGCATCAATTGTACGGCAAGCTTTTAACAGACAACAAAAGCACGCTCACAGCCACCTCGTGCGGGACCACCTTCAAGAGTGCAGCGCGGGAGCTCAGAAACCTCGTTGCACCGACTATCTCATAAAGCACGTGCGATAAGCGAATGGTAATTGAAAACGCCTCTCCACGCGAGCAACGACCCCCGCTGACCTGTTCTATTTTCTATAATATTATTGGTCATGACCGTCAATGTAGAATTTCCGATAATACAACGACTTGCGATTACTGCCAGCATCATGACTCGTGTAAAAGCCTGACCACACGTACACGTAGCAGCGCGTCAGCGCGTGGCTTTTTGATGCAGCTCCACACCCTCTCTCTGTGAATAGGCATGTGGCTATGTGAAGCTGCGGTCCGTTCTCTCTCCATAAAGAAAGGCCGCCACGCCGCGTCAGAGTCATGCGCTGACGGGCTGCAACGTGTACGTGTAGTCAGGCCTTAAAGGGGCCCTGCAACACTTTTTGAGCATGGTCAGAAAGCACTGCCAATCCATAGTAGAGGCTCCCGTCAACACACGAGCCAAATATTAAAGTGCAGCACACGGCCTGGAATTCACAATAAATTATCCAAGTCAGCTAAAAATCGCTTTTTCTTCTTTCGACAAATCATGTTATATGCCCAAAAATCGCACGTCAATGACCCATCTATCAGCCATTGGCTGTTTTGAACATGGCACGCTCGGTCGTTACAGCGATTGCAGCGGGAGGCCACGACTTGTCCTGGCGTGCACGCAATCACACTGAATAATCTGCGCATTTGATGGGGGAAAAAACAAAGAAAAGGTGCTCAATGTCAGGACGCGCACGTGATGTTTTTCTCTGCGCCTGCCCTCCCTCCCTGCTTAGCTTACAGCTTAGCTTGCAGTGCCTTTCTCGGGAGGCAATACGTGAGGCAATAAGCTCTCTCAGAGAGTTCAATCCATGATTTCTTAAAAAAGTGTTTCAGGGCCCCTTTAAAGCGCTTGCACTGCGTGGAGCAGGTAATATATTCGTGTCTACGCAAACAAACAGCGGAATGTACAGAGACTGGTTTTATTGCAAAAAAAAGAAAAAAAAAAGAAACTAAGTACGCCAGTCAGACTGTGGAACGGCTGCCGACCGAAACACCGATCAAATGTAAAGCTAAGCCTAAAAGCTCTTGTAGCCCAGAGCACTACCTGCTCTATAAACTTACGACCTGCTCATCGCCCCCCCCCCCCCCCCTATGAAGGCATGTGGGCCCAAAAATTGGTGCGTAGGGACCAGAGATACAGCAAGGTGCCGCCACGACTTACCCTCATAGCAGATGACGTGCTGCCGTAGTGGTGCACTCGTGCGTGCACATTTCTGCAATTTTTATCTTATTTATAGCGCGCCAATCGAGCAACCTACAGATTTAATGAATCGAAGCAACATTCTAGCTGTGAGAAGCACCATAGTGGTTCGCTCCGGGATGTTCACTACAGGAACTCAATCTGCGTGAGTGCTTTTGTGTTCTGGTCTAAGCGCAGGCGAACGCGAGCAATATGAAACGCACCACTAGTTTGTTTTGCGCAGTGCTCCCCATCTAACCACGGTCTAGAAGGTGCTGAAATAATTCGTCCGTGGGCAAAAGAGCGATCTTGTAACGAGTTACAACCTAAAATCAGTGTGTTTCTGCAACGCAATAAAGACGCATACGGTACTAAAAACGCATGCGATGACCCGTGTAAGTTTTCATGCCCTGCATATCGTCCTTCAATGATACTGTTCACACCGATAACAATAGAAGGGAGTAGTTGTGCTATCGTCTGGCAAATGTCTAACGATCGATGGAAGGGCGCAATAAAACCAGTTGGATTACCGCAATGTTGTTACAGTGATTTCTCGCACCTGCAGCAGTTCGTTGCAGCACTGTTCAAGCGCCGCTGGCGTTTCCGTGTGTCTCACCGGCGATGTCATCAAGCATTTATCTCTGGAGCAACAAAATATAGCGCATTAAGTGACAACAGCTTTTGTCACGCTCCTTTTCTGTAAAGGCC